AAAAATATATTCTTGTGTCATTTTTCTTGCTCACCAATATTTTGCTATGAGAAGTTTCAAACATATGACAGAGTTGAAAGACTTGTATAGAATAATAGACTCTATTAGTTTCCTATGCTGCATAACAAATTACCCCAAATTTAGTGGCTTCAAACAGCACTCATTTACAATCTCACAGTTGCTGCAGGTCAGGAGCCTGGCAAGGCATGACTGGGTTCTCCACTCAGGGTTTATTAGGCTGCAGTCAAGGTGTTGGCCAGGGCGTCTGTCTCGTCTGAGGCTTGGGTCCTCTTCCAAGCTCATGTTAGGATTCATCTCCATATGGTTGTAGGAGTAAGGTCCTATTTTCTTCCTAGCTGTCTCTGGGGATGCTGTCAGCTCCTAGAGGCCACCCATAGTTCCTTGCCCTGTGAGTTCCTCTTCCGACTTGGCAGTGTATTTCTTTAAAGCCAATAAGGGAGAATCTCTCTCTTTCTGATTTGGTAAAACAGAATCTTATATAACACAACGTGATAATGAGCTTGACTTCCCCTCACCTTTGCCATAGTCTGTTGGTTAGAAGTAAGTCACAAATTCTGCCTGTACTCAAGGGGAAGGGATTATATAAGAGCTTGACTCCTCGGGGTCACCTTAGTGTGTGCCTGTACCCCCACCCTCCAGATTCTACCATCAACCTTTACTACACCCATTTTATCACTTTCTATTCATGTCTCCATCCTTAAGTCATGTCAGCATTTTCTTCAAAGGAGTCCCACTGGTTGGGGAGTGGGGAAGCAGGTGTAGGTTTAGTTGAAACAAGATCTGCTGTGTGTTGTCAGTATGATTGGCTGAGAGATGGGTACGTAGGTTCATTGTACTGTTTTTTTTTGTTTGTTTTTTTTTTTTTTTTGAGACAGAGTCTCACTCTGTTGCCCGGGCTAGAGTGCCGTGGCGTCAGCCTAGCTCACAGCAACCTCAGACTCCCTGGCTCAAGCAATCCTTCTGCCTCAGCCTCCCGAGTAGCTGGGACTACAGGCATGCGCCACCATGCCCGGCTAATTTTTTTCTATATATATTTTTAGTTGTCTGATTCATTTCTTTCTATTTTTAGTAGAGATGGGGTCTCGCTCTTGCTCAGGCTGGTCTCGAACTCCTGAGTTCAAACAATCCGCCCGCCTCGGTCTCCCAGAGTACTAGGATTACAGGCGTGAGCCACCGCGCCCGGCCATGTTTTTTGTTTTTTTTTTTAATTTTTATTTTAGAGATGGGGTCTTGCTCTTGCTCAGGCTGGTCTCGAACTCCTGAGCTCAAATGATCCACCCACCTTAGCCTCCCAGAGTGCTAGGATTACTGGCACCAGCCACCAGCCGGCCATTGTATTGTTATCTTTTACTTTTCTGTATGGTTGAAGATTTCCATAAGAAAAGGCTTCCATGTGTATCTCCTTAATTTCAACTTCTTTAATTATATCATTCAAATTTTCTGTGTCCTTATATTTTTGCCTAATTGATCATCATAAATCAATACAGGCCGGGCGTGGTGGCTCACGCCTGTAATCCTAGCACTCTGGGAGGCAGAG